ACTTTCTATTAATAAAAAACAAACTTTATATTTATTAAGTTTATCTTTTATTAGAAAAAGTAGAGCATAGATAATTATAGCAGATATTACAAAGAAATATTCTAGACAAGTAGAAAAAATGTTTCAAAATTATAGTAATAAAAGATTTCAATGCTATTATCAATCTAATAGCAGACTGATTAATTATAAACAAAAAAAATATCAAGATATAAAAAGACTGAAATAGATCTTTTCAACTTTTTAGAAGATTGGAATTATATAAATATTCAAAATTTTGAAAAAAAAACAATATTTTCATATAGATAAATAACATATTATATAATAGAATTGATTATATTTGGTCATTACCAGAAATTAGTTTAAACAATATATATGATTTCAAGAATATTTTAGTTAAAACATTAATAGAAAGTGATTATATGTTATTATTAATAAGAAAGACAATAAACAATTTGCTAAACTGCAGTAGTGACCTGCAGGCAATGATATTAGAAGTTGGAAGGGTTTTAACTTAAACTCTTAATAGAGTAATAAATTACTTCCAAAGTTGCCCTTAGAGTAGTAATTATAAAGACAAGTGAGCTAGTTAATGTTTTTTGGCTTTAGTGATTTATATTATATGTATAGTTTACAAATGTTTAATAAAGCACACATAACTAGCCTGACAGAAGATTAAAAAAAAATAAATAAAAATAAATAATTAATTGAAAAACCAAGTCTATAAGTAACACAGAACAAAAGGAAAAAGAATATCTGATTTTATAAACTTTATAGCTAAACAATGAAAAAAATTCAAGCATAGAATAAAATTTAAACTTTTTGATGTAAATTTATAGAATTGCTAAAAACCAGAGAACATAATTCAAGAACTTAAAGATACTTGATATAAACTGAAGTATAATTATTAATAGTATATATAAGTAAGGAAGAGTTTTTAAAAAGGAAGTCAGTGACAAAGGTTAAATGTTTCTTACTAGAAAACATTAAAATTTTTAAATTAATAACTATAAAAAAATTATCCCAAATTGGTTTTCATTATCTAAATTATTGTTTATAGTATTTCATGACTTTTATCCCTATTAAAGTAAAGAGTTATGAATTTGTTTCTCAAAAAGAGACATATAGTAAGTGATCTGTAAAATTTTATATGCTAAATACTTTAGAAATCCATTATTACATACAATTATTTGAAAAAGAAAAAAATCTATTCTATTTCTAATAAAAAGATTAAAGCAGAACCAATAATTTCAAGAAAAGATTTCAAAGCCTATAGAAAAGTCAATAAAATTACTTTCTATTAAATAAATTATAGGCAAACTAGGATACAATAACTTTAAACTATATATATATAATTTATATTAAAAAATGTTCAATTAAAAACTAGTTTTTTCTCAAATATCAGAAGAAATATCAGAACAATTAAGAAATATTATCAGAATAGAGTATATTCTTGAAATTATATACAAGAAAAAAGAAAGCTTTTTTGTTAAAAATCAAATCAAAAAAATACTAGATAATAGATATAAAGATCTTAAGACCAATAAAAAATATATGTTTAATATAGTACTAAATCAGAAAATATTTAAAATAATTTTAAATCAAGTATTAATTACAAATCAAGAAAGAGTGAAATATATAATCACTAATTTATAAACTATCAAAAACATAGTGGAAAACTATTATTAAAAAGCTTTTAAAAGAAAAAATGTCAATTTTAGAAACCTAAACTCTTTATGAAAAAGAGAATATCAATTTAAAGAATGAATTAATCTGAAATAATACCTATTATAATAAAGGAAATTAAGGTAAAAAAATTAGAAGATACTCTATAACATTTTTTCAATAATAAGACAACTAGTCTTTTATATAGTATATTAGTTATAAAATACTTAAGCATATGAGTTCTAAAGAAAAAGAAATATTATGCTATATTTATAAATATATAGATAGTAATAATTTAATTAAAAGCTAGATAAGTTTTATGAAAATAATTAAAAAATCAGATATTTTTTTTAATATTAGAATTAAAAAAATTTTTTTTTTTAATTTATTAATAAATTCGATTTTCAAATATTATTTTTTATAAAATATTATATAATATTGTTTAAAAATTTTTAGATAAAACTTTTTTAAATTATTTATTTATTAAAATAAGCTACTTTTTAAATTCTTTTTTGAAAATTATATTTTAAAAACAATTTTACTTAAATATACCAATTGAATATATTTTTAAATATTTAATAAATTATTAAAAAAAATGAAATAATTTATATATATAGAATTTAAATAAAATATTAATTTTAAATATTATAATAAACTTATAATTATTTTATCATGTAAATATATTTAAAAATCCTAAATTAATTATATTTATTTTTAAATTTTAATTTAATTAATAATTTTTTTTTTAAAAAAAAGATTGATTTTATTATTTTTATTATAACATTATAATAATAATAAAAAATTAATATAAAATTTTATTATAAATTAATATAAAATTTTATTATAAATTAATATAATCAATATTAAAAGGAATGAAATTAATAATTAAAAATAAATAAATTATAATAATTAATAAAGTTTTAAGTTTTTAATAAAGATAAAATAGATCTATAGATTTATATAATATAGTAATAGTATTTGTAAATCATAATTATAAGGTTTAAAGTTTAATATTATATAAGGATCAAGTAAAAAATTTATATTATAATAAATTTTGATACTTCATTAAATATTAGTTAAGTATAGTCTATAAATATTATAAAATAATTAATACCTTATCAATATTTTAAAAAGTGAAGAAAAATATGATAATTTTGTAATTAATTGGAATAAAGATTAAATTGACATTGGATATCTTGATAATTTAATTAATTAAAAAAATTTATTGCAAGTTAAGAAAGTTTAAAGTTTTAAAAAAAGTAAATAATATATTAATAAGATATATAAAAGTATAATTAAAATAAGTAAAACTTATTATTGAAAGATTTTGATAGAAAAAGAAATTTATAAATTATATCGAAATCCTAAATCCAAGAACAGGTTAAAGTAAAACAATAGTCTAATAATAAAATTACTTTATAAAATTGTTTTAGGAAAAATTAAGAAAGAATTATATAATTTCTTTTAATAGATTAGTTAATATATATATATATATATAATACATTTACTATATATAAGATATCATGTATATAACATTATTTCTAAGCAAATAAAAATCACAGATAGGCAAACTATAATAAGTTATATAAAAAGGATAGTTTAGTGTAATAAGGTAATATCTAAAACTTCATGTGAATATTTTATAAGCATGTTGTAATAAATATTACAAAAAAAAATATTCAGTGAAATAAAATATAAAAGGAGTTCTATGCTACAGTTTCAAGGTCTGTAGAAATAAGAATTATGAAAAAGTAATATTGATGTAAGTAGTGAAATAATAGGATTTTTTTTTTTGATAACAAGTCATAAAGATAGGACTATCTGTAAATAGATTTTTTGATATTTTTAATTATAAATACTGAAAAACACAATTCACCAATGTATATAGAATAGTTCTGTATACTAGTAGTAATCAATAACTTCAATATAACTGGACTTTACAATCCTTAATAATAATAAAAAAAAAAGATAAAATAAATTTGATTTACTTTTTAATTATTATTATTTATTGTCATTCTATATATAGTATTGTAATGATTATTGTAAATGCTTAATAAAGTTTTATATTGAGCTTGTTTTGTGAATTAAAAAATAAAAAAAACAAACTTATATTATACTGTATTTTAAATAAATTGGTTTATTTAGAAACCGGCAATTACTTTATCGGACATGCGGTATTCAGGTTTCATAAGATACAGTATAGTAAAAAAAAAAAGAAAAAAGGATAGCCTCTTGATGTCGCAATGTTATAAAGATAATAAATAGATAACCAGTATCCGAACTTTGGAAGAGGATTTTTTTTTTAATTGCTATAACTTAATTACTACAACTTTTTAAGTAAAACAAGTTAATATGGCGAAATATAGACGGTCTGCACATCGAAAAAAAAAAAAAATGTTATACAAAAAGTGCACAAAAGGTAAAACCTCATTATGGTATCGTCATATTTGAATGAGGTACATATTTGTCCTACGATCTACCTTGATTTGGTTTGTCAGATTTTTTAACCTCCCGTACGACCGTCACGCAAGGGTACATACACGCTTATCGCTTCATCTTCATTTAACACTCAGGAGCATTTTGGATTTGAAACAAATCATTTGCTAAAGAATAAAGAAAAATTATCGTCACAAGAACACCCCTTGAAAAATTCCGGTTCCAAAGTAATCACGCTAACGATTATCCATAAGGCAACGGCCTATCGTTAACTTTTCTGAAGGGTATCTGCTCAGATTTTGACGTGCATTTACTATATGGTAATTCTTTTTTGCTGTGGTGAAACTGTGCCTTATGTGCACCAAGTACGTTAGAGGTTCATCCACGATATTCGTAAGCACCGCTGTGCGTATCGGATGCCCAAAATACGGGACGACGCATAAAAGCAATTTAGTGAAAGAGGTGAATAATGGAGGCCGATAGTCAGTTCGAATTAATAAAAATAAGCCATTTATAGGCGTACGTACTCACTTGAAACTTATTTTTAAAATGTGTGAAATATGTGTAATCCTTGTGTTTTTATCATGTCACCATATAAGTATAATACGTGTGTGTCCATTTTAAATGTAAACTCTTTTCCTCATTTTTTTTTTTTTTTTTAATCGTCATTTTTCTTCTTATACTCATTTCACATTACCGACCGTGGTGCATTCAAAAGATTTTCCTAAAAAACTAATAACCCAACGTTCTTTTCCTACCCAAGAATATAGAGGAATTCTGGTGATAAGAGTTTGAGTGAACTTTGAATAAAAATTTTGCGTATCGAATTTTTTAGAAAATTTATTTATTCGGTTTTCCAGAATCATAGAACTTTGAAAATTCTTTGGCACCTTAGAATAAAAATGCCAACAACCTTAAGACGAATAATAGATTACACTAATCGAACGATTGCAAGTCCGCTATCCAGATACGCAGCACTAATATTACTGGTGGCCGTCATCTTTGCGTTATACTTTGTCATAAATCATCAAGTATCAAAGCCATACGGTACCGGACCATCGATAATAAGCGGAGATGTTGCTATCAATTCCACCGCACATTCACCAAACACGGCACCGTCCGATGATTCAGCGGCGATGAATGACGTTTTAAACATCACCAATCAAGCCACATATGATCCGAACAACGGAAGTGTGAAGCAACTGGGAAACTACACAAATCAAATACAAGGATTCCTCTATGATCGTGGTGATGGTTGTTCCAGTAATGTGTCGAACGTTGAGGGTGTCATTCCCGAAATTCCCCTACCCGCCTATTATCGACAATACAGAATTGGCTTGATATCCGCAGACACTTCAGGATGCAGTATCTCGGAAAAGATAAGTAACTCAATATTCGACCGCGACATCGGAATCATATTTTGGATGTCGAATGATCAAGATTTACCCAATGTCAACCAAACGATACCTGTATTCTCCGTAAACCTTAACACTTCGATACAATTGAAAAATGAATTACGAAATTTATACCGTCAATTTAATAGCGGTTCTTCCGTTTACCAAGCCCTGGGGATAGATATGGTACCTTTTTACCCAATGACGCCTAACTTTTGGTTGGTATCAATGATCTCTGTGGCAGGAGTTTTGATATTGTCATTCCTTGTTTCGATAATCTTACACGTGAGAATCAATCGGGAGCGAAGGCGGCGAATAGAGAGAGCCAGAATGCAGAGAAATGTTGATGAATCATTGGGAATGAAAAAATGGACATTGGATAAAGAGGTGGTTGAAAAATTTCCAGTTATCATCTATTCAAAAAAGATCACACCCGCCGAGACCGAGACGGACGAAAAGAGGTCGTCGGCGGACGTGACCGAAAGCGCCATGTTAGAAGGTAAAAACGAAGGAAAAGAGGAAACCGATGGTATGGATGATATTGACGAAGATGAAGAACAATCTCGGAATAAATTATCCAGAAAGGCGTCCACCCGATCAACCAGATCCCAACGATCCTTAAGGGCCATTGATAATGCAGCCATAATTTATTCGTCACCGAACGCAGACACCACCAGTTCCGATCACATCTCGAACTCCGAGACCAGAGAAACTTGTGCCATATGTTTGGATGATTTCGATGACGGCGATGAGATACGCGAGCTGCCCTGTCGTCATTGGTATCACGTGGAATGCATCGACCCATGGTTGACCATGAAGAGTAGCTCGTGTCCGTTGTGTAAAAAAGACTGCAAGCCTGAGGATGTAGAGGGGAACACGGAAGTAAGCATACAAGTGGTAAGAGAGAGGGAATTAGAGGCGTCGCAAGTGGTCAATAGTCAAAACCGGACATCAAGTTCTTCTTCAACTTCATCGAGGGCGAAAAGTGTAATGCACTTCATGAATAACTTATTCAGACCAAGTCAAAGATCCCCGAGGCAACAAGAGACCGCCGACGAGAGAGGAGGTGGAAATTCATATTCAGAAATGGAGGCTGCTCATACATCTGGAAATGTATGATCAAAAAGTTTTGTTGCTGCTCGTACATCAGGAATGTATGATCCGAAGTTATTAGAAAAAGAAATACATATTTAACATTTAGCAACTCGGCATTTGATATTTATGGTCACGGTGGTTATCTTATTTCGTCCCATTTTCCCCATCCAACGCCAAAAGATGGTTGGTTAGATTCACCAGCCTATCATATCATTTATTCACGTTCATTTGAGTCATCCCTCCCTTTGCACATTGAAAAATGTATTTTATTCACTTTGTAATTACATTTGCTGTTGAAAAAAAAAAAAAGTTCACGGTAGAGTAAACTGTATTAATGTATATTAATTAATAAAAGGATTTATCATATGTAATAAAATTTATAGTTTGGTCCTACCGGAGCAGGAGGAAGAAAAAAAAGGTTTTCTTTTTTGTTTTTTTTTTCTACGGTTGCAATGTGCGAGTCTACGATATCGTGTATCGTCACATTTTACAAGTACAAAACACTGCAATGAATGCAAATAATTTAATGCTTTATGATACATCTCTGAGTAATGTTCATAGGGAAATAAAATAAATATTAGTTATATGCATACATACAGAAATGCATGTATGCATATATTTTGAAAATAAGTTAATGTTGGTAAGATATATGATATTTCTAGTTTCGTGCTAGAGACTTAATATATGTTGCTAATCACAATGTTAGTACAGATTATGGATGATAAAGTATTTACATCGATTATGCATTATTCCATGTTATTATATGAGGTGATATATGGATGTGTATTATTAGTAGTGGAGTTCAAATCGCAACAACTACAGACAGACATTGTCACGAATGTGAGAAAATTCTCCACATTGTCCTTGGCAGAAGTAAGATTCTCTTTGCTGTCTTGAAGACGGCAACGGTCAAACAAAACATGAACATGATTCCTATTGCAATGTATATAAAAAACAAATGTTATCATATGTTAGCATGGGATTCAAATTATGAGACCATAATTACCCGCTAGCACATAAGACATCATCAGATAGAATATATCCAACACGGAGGATCTCTTTTGTTCCGCGATCAAAAGGTGAATGTCATCCTCAAGTACTTTCAACTGTCATTTCAAATGGATTAATAACCTCGTGAGTAAACTTGTTTCACCGTTGAACCCCATAATTTTTGAAATGACAAACCTGACGGAAATAATCGTTGTTAACTTCGAGGGTCAACTCTTGAATCAGATCCAACATAGCTTTCGCGTCTTCTTTGAAACTGTTTTTTTGGAAAATTTTTATCAGAGATAGATATTAAATATATGAATGCAAACGCAAGGATTAATGAAGGCGACTATACTAGGCATGTCAGTTTTCCAAATCTTCGATTGTGCTTTCCATGCTGGTCATGCTACGGTTTAATTCTTCCATTCCTATGTCGATGCGCTTTTTCAATTCATAGACGGTTTCGTTATGAATCACAAAATCCGAGGATGGCACATTTTGAGAATGAGCAAAGTTTCCATCGAAAACAGGCGACTGAACAAACGGAATATCAAAGTTATCAAAGAAACAACGGTCATTCTTCCTGATGACCTCTTTCCTTTCGAGAAATATTTCCTACGTATAAATGACTTTTAACTCAAGATCTTATAACGATCAACAAATGTAATTCGAAGTGAAATAAACCTGATTCGCTTCCAGAAATTCCGTTGCTTCTTTCAAGCTTTCGTCGTAGCGAGCAATTGATTCTTCCGTGTCTTGCAAGTCGATACTACTTTTGCGCGATCATCAAAATATTTGAATTCAGGGAGAGCAAGTCATTGAAAATTGCTGACGCACATGTGGATCATACCTCTTTTGCTTATTGCCAAGCAGCGAGATACGAAGTTCTACTAGATCGGCTATCGATCAAAAATAACATATAAATGAGTGTACATATAAACATGGCGAATCAAAACTTCATAATAATAAAAGACATCCTGCTTCAAGGCATAGGCTTACCCCCATGACCAACGAGCTTCTTGAACTTGAACACGTCGTTCAATCCGATGTCCAGTTCAACTGCAAAAACATATTGTTAGACAATAGTCAATTAAGAAACGTACGATCATTAAATCTTCGATTGTCAAGCATACCATAATGATTGTCTTCATCGTTCTGAGGTGCAAGTCCTTGCTCTTGGAATGACGTCACCGTGCGAACAAGGTTATCCGGAAGGACATCGAGCTTGACAAGTACGGTCTCACCAAGAAGTTCAAGTTCGTTATCACCTTCGCTGTCACCTTTGGTAGTCATATTACGTGTATCAACAGGTGGTTCGTCATAAGATGATCCTTAATTTGACGCTCACCTTCATATTCAGTATTTATTTCGATTATTCTGTTATCATCGCTCAAAGATCGCTGCATGGTGGAAGGTCCGTGGTGTTCATCTGAATCTTTTTCCAATCGCTCTTCTACGCCAGCTGAATCAACAACACTTTTACTTGCAGTGACGCTGATCTTGGGGTTTCCGGTGACTGCATCCTATCCCATGGTTTTCAATATTAATGATGGGTTAACATTCATGGACAAAATGACGAACTTTAAAGATTCGGCAATTACCTTTGCAGATTCGAATGAACTATCACTTAACCCCGCCGCCGAAGCGCCCAGTGAACTCCGTCGATCGTGTACACTATATCCCTCCGGCACATCGTCTTTTTCCAATAATTTTTCATCAGAGGCTTTTGAAATTCCCCTGTCGGATTTAACTTTTTCTTCATATGTCTCGCGTGAATCTCCATGCTCTTTTTCGGAAGAAGAACGTGTAAACTCTGCTGAACTCCGAGGATTCTGGTCATTGGAGGACGAATCCGTCAGGTTCTCTAAGGAATTTTGTGACATTTGTATGCCGTCAGATAATTCTACTCTCTTATTCTCATTGTGAACATTGGGTTTCTGGTGTCCCTTCGAAGACCTTTTTTGAGGTTTCTTGTCTTTGCGCTTAAACAAATGCAACGACCATCCTCTTGATTTAGCCTTGAAAACGTCGTCATGTGTTATACTGTTCAGGCTTGATGCCCGTGAATGCTTTGTGTTGCGTCCCGGACCTGCCGGTGATTCCAAATTATCCTTCTCTTGCGGCGAGGGAGGAATAAATATTTGCGAAAGACGTCGATTATATCGCATATTTTTATCATGAGCATGATTTCCAACCTTTATGCGAGATGTCGCAACCTCATCTCGAATAGCATTATTCACATCCTCAACCTTCTCTAAAGTTTGACCTGCCATATTTCCACTTTTTCTGGTTTCGATTTGCGAGATATTCCAAGGGCATTGCTTTTTCCTTCGACTCGAAAATTTTTTTTTCACTTGTTCCGTCAACAAAGCATCACTATCATAATCATTCAAACTCATGTCATCGTTGTCATCACCGATTAGATTAGCACTCGCCTGCCGTGCCCGCACCTCACAAAGAGGATTGTAGATTTCATTATTGTTTATTATTCCGAAGATCTCGCGATATTTATCTTCAAGATACTTTTTGCATGCTTCGGATTTGGATAAAGTGACTTCCGATGATCGTAAGCCATGATCCGAGGGTGAAGGCGCTGAATAGCGTCGTCCGAAAGAATGAAGATCAATTCAATCAAATTTTGGCAAAAATCAACGCACGATATTCTCAGAGAGTAAATTATTTACCACCACTTTGCTCGCCTGTTTTTTCGCTTTTGACTCCAGGAATGGGCGAATTCCGATTTTTTTGAATGGCATGCATTCGTGTAAATTGAGCTAATTTGAAAGCGTCCTCATCCTTAACGTTCGCGATCAACTCGGCAATAGATTCTTTGGTTCACGGATGAGCAATTGTGAGAACAGTATCGAGACGACACATAATTTCAGGTGGTGTACATTACGACCATGATGGTACCTTTTTCTCCGTCATCGTCAATCAAACTTCCAAAGCCTTTTCCAGCGTTGCCTATCCTTTCTCTATCCAGATTCCACTCTCGATTCCTATCGAACCCTTTGTCTAAGGCGACACTATGTCTCGTCGGAGACAGGTATCGATTGGAATTCGTACTAAAGATCAAATTAGAAGAGCCCAGTTCGTGCATTGAAAATCGTTCTTGGGATCTCGATGTTGATGATAATGTTCTGCGCCTCGGCTGCGGAGGATTGTATGAAGGAAGCGATGATGATGAGACATTATTTGAAAATAGTTCCAAACTCGGATCTTTTTGGCAATCCTCCGGCGGGGACATTTCACTCTCACTCATGCTGTTGGCGTTTATAAACGTAGCCAAGCTCCCGGTTGATGAAGATGGGCTTTTATAGATGGCCCAACCTTGTGACCGCCATTTTGACTCCGCAAGACTGGGTTCAAACACTTCATCCCTATTCAAGGTATTTTTGGTGCTCATTTATTCTGCTCGTAAACGGATCAAATATTTGCAATTAAAGCGAAAGTAGGAGAAAGAGATTTGCGATTATTAGGGCGGAACGGACGCTCACCTTTTACTAAAGCAATAACATTGAGTTTCCCGCTTGTCCCTCACGAATCCACAAAGAATGTTGTTAATTTATTGCTTGCAAATTTTGCAAATTTGCCTATTAAAAGAAAGAATGAAAATTCCGGAAAGGAGTTAAACTGGTCGATTCGTTCATCCTGATTTATACTTTTTCACATTGTTACACGAAAGTATGCATCAAGTTTGCATAATTGAAAATTATGTGCTTGACAATTGAGGACGTAATAAGAATGATGAGAATGACGATGATGAATTCACAACCGAAATACCCGAATATTTTTTCAAACGCAGGCCAAAATTGCTTTGATATGAATGTAAGCCGCATTTTGCATTTTGTGTCACGGACAATTATGTAAGTTTCTTTTTTTGAACATTTTATTTAATTATAAATATGGTTTTCCAAAAAAAAAAAAAAATTCCTAACAATTAAATTAAAAAACTTTGACCTTTCTCAACGAAACAATCAAAATATGCAGTTCGAGTTATTTATTCAAGGCTCACAAAGTGTAAGCATTTATGGTCGCCTTCGAATTTTCCCTTTGAAGGAAATTGCGGAAAATCTATTTACTCTGCATATTGTACCACAGGCAGCGGTGGAAGAGAAGGTGAGAAGGATCTAGAGGTTCCGGGTGCATAAAATGCAGATATCCACATAACCTGCTACAAGAAGTCTCAACTTTCTCCATGTTTCAAATAGTACTGCTGGCATGGTTTGCACGCGAAAGCATGATTACGGAAATACACCGACTCCTTTTCGGAAGAGAAGTTTGTCTACAATGTTAACCGAAGATGAGACGTGGTCTGAAGATTCCGTTTCAGATACATCCACATTTGACTTCGACGACGATCGTTTCATCTATGAACCCTCCGTCCATACCCTCGGTAGGCAAAGGCACCGACGTGTCCTTCCGTATAAACCGATGTCGGCGTACGCCGAGGATGCACAACAGGATCGGTATATCGACTTTTTTTCACGTACATTTCATCATTTAGCATCAATAAAGCAAAAATTAAAAAATAGATTTTCAGATCCGAACAGGGAAGACGCTATTCTTGGAAGTTGACCGTTAAAATCGTGCACATGTTACTTATATTCATCTGTAACGCGATCTTGTGGATTCCGAATTTTTTGATGGCTGCATTATCGCGTAGTAAAATCGTTATAATTTTACTTGCATGCACATTGATTTATGGGATCATTTTCATGGTCCACTCAAAACCCGAAAATTCACTAGCAATCCGGACGCCGAATCAAATAACCCCTGGAGGATCTCGTATCCGTTGGCAGCCTCAATTCGATCTTTCTTTCGAAGAAATTTATTATCTTGTTGTTGCCAAAGTTGGATCGTATATCTACTTGCTGCATCGTGAATCCGTCGCCAAATCATACTTGCTTTTGGATTCTTTGACACAAGGGTTTCCGGAAGAAATGATGGAAAGATTACGTCAGGTCCTTCCGCCTATCGTCGAGAAGATAATAAAAGACAGAGAACAGATCGAGTCAAGAACCCGGAAGCGAGCGGATTTCGCGTTGCTTTCCGGCGGCGCAAGGGTTATATTACATTTGACCTCCTCTCCTTACATTGAATATCCTAATGGCTTGATCAAGAAGAGCGTCGCGAGATTCCTCGGCCGTGGAATAATCCGAACAAAGCAGCCGGAAATTGCCATTTCCTCGGATAATAACGTGGGTAATTGTTACTGTTTCAGAGGTGCAACCGGGCATGTCGCGATTGAATTGAGCAGATTTATTGAAGTATCATCAATAACCTATGTTCACCTGGATCCTGACCTGGCCTTCGAACCGAAAGATTTGAGGAGCGCGCCAAAAGATTTTGAAGTATGGGTGATTCGAGATGGAAATATGCATGAGAACAGGGAACAATACAACACGGAGGCGTTACTACTGGGAAGGTTTAGCTACGAGCTAGGAGGTCCGAGTGCACAGAGATTCGAAGTTAATTACGAAGGAAAGGCAATTCCAGTAGTAAAGAAGGTGTTATTTAAGGTGAACAGTAACTGGGGCGAGGATAAATATACTTGTCTTTACCAGATTAAGGTGCACGGTCGAGTTATGAGCCGTTAAACAATCGGCCGTGTTACGGCGTCATCTAATTCTAATGACGTCCACGCTTATTGCTATAATGATAACTTCCGGACATATTACGAAGAGATTTTCTTCATAAACATAAAATGATTTTGCACATTTTTTTGCACCCACTGAAGTTCTGAAATCTTTGCGGATTCCATTAAAAAAAAAAAAAAAAAAATTTCAATCAGCCTGACGATTTAAAAAAAATTTTTTTTTAGTTGTCCTTTTGTCAATGTAAAATTATTTTTACGTACTGTATATGCTTTTTTTTGTAAAATATAGATGTTTAATAAAATATTTAATTCTTATGTATCGAAATTTCATTTTAAACTCGTGGCATGCATGCATACGTATTATAAAAAAAACAAACAAAAAAATGCACATCAGGAGTCGACATTGTAGTAGAAGATATTTTATATATTCTCTTTATGATGTTTATCAGTTACTTAAATACGATGCATATTTTGTAATGAAGTTATGTAATAAAAAACGCGATAATTCTAATAATTATACGTATAAGATAATCCTGCTTGTTTTAAAGATGTTAAACCCTAATGAAAAAATGTTACGAAGCCAAGTTCACTTTTCTAAGCAAATCGCATACATACTGGCGCAGCAAGTCAGCATACGACGAGTACCAGGGCTCTAATGGCAAACCCTTTTTTGATCTTTATTATTTAAGTAGACATGGAACTTTTCGTGTAAGCTTCTTTTAAATGAATGATGCGAATATAATGAATTTTCAGATGACAATAAGAAATAAACATAAAATACATTTTACAAGTATACTTAAGATCTGTGAAGCAATTGACTGTCTCCCGAAAAAAAAATAATTAAAGGAAATATTAATCATCATAAATATCTATAACCAGTTAAGCTAATCCCTTCCGCTTCTCTTCAAAACTTGAGCCCCTTCCGAAACCGAAACGTCAGGTAAATCTAAAATTCTCTCATATCCTAGGATTCCTTCGCTTCCTGAATTGCTCTTGAGAGCTGGTTCATCCAAGAAACCCACCTTCACCAAATATGCCAAATACAATCCTATCAACTTTTCGTCAATCGCCTCACATTCCAGTCCAACCACCTCTATAGTGTTCTTATTATCCAATTGTGGGGCCTTGGTGCTAGTTGGTAAATCATCCAGCACAAAATGTAGAAGTGGGTACAACGCATTATCTCGCGATTTCAAAGTAAACTCCATCAATCTATTACGCCAAATTATGTATTCCGTTTTTGAAACAACATATCCATAAAGTGGTAAAGATTTGAACAGGTCGTCAAATCTGAAGGAGGTATTAGCGGAGTGGGTCACATGGAAGACGCCTTTGGAAGGAGCAACGGATGAAAGAGAAACCCGGACAACGCATTCAGAAACATAATCTACCGGACACATATTTATTGTATTGTGAATGGTGGGCACAAGCTTCAGCTGAATGCAACCCTTCAGCAAGCGCCAAATGAAGTCATCGGTATTCGTGACTAAAATTATAAAATAAATGCCGTGAACGAGGAGGTGTCAATAGGATTTGGAACAAATTTGAATCAGGAAATAAGCATGCATGATCGGTGATAGAAACCTACCACCAGTTCTAGAGTGCCCAACAATATATCCGGGCCTTATAATGGAAGCTGGTAAACCTCTTTTCCGCGCTTCAAATATCAATTTCTCTGAAACCCACTTGCTCTGGCCGTACCCACTTCTTAAATCGTATCTGCCACCTTCTAAATCATCGTCCTCCCCTATTCCTCTTCCATCCTTTTCAATTATAGAATCGCTTAGTGAGATGTAATGTTCGGTATCAAGAACCGACGTGGAACTAACGAAATTGAAAGGTTTTGTGTGATGAGTAGACGCGAGTCTCATGGCCCATAGAGTTCCCAGAACATTAGCGGCCTTGAGTTTATAATATGGATACACCCAATGTACCTGAGTTTTTTCGATCACATTTTAATTTTGAGGTTAATATCGATATTTCGACTATGCACAGTAAGTGCGTAAACATGAAAGCACAGCTCACCAATGCTCCATTATGTATAACCACATCGACACGTTCTGCCAACGCATTCCACTCTTCCTCGTCAACACCCAACCTATCTTTCTCTAAATCACCGCAAACAACTTCCAATCTGCCCTCGACAATCCATTCCTCCTCCCACACCAAATGAGACATACAACTCTTTTTCACCCTTTCCATTGCTGATTCTTTCGTCTGAGCTCTAACATGCGCAATCACCTTTATCTCATTATCAGAATGCAACAGGGTCGACAAAATAAAGGCTCCGAGAAATCCGGTGACACCTGTGACGAAGATAACTTTTCTTTTATGACTCTCGGGTAAAGGAGTATAGCTTTCCAAAAGATACTCGGAAGCTAATATTTCGACATCGCTCGCATAATTAAGTTCAGCCTTTATATCGTTTAACCCTTTGACCGCAGCTTTTTTGTCTGGGAGCATATCAGCATTTAATTCGTCTCCCGCGATATTCAATTCTCCCTTCATTATATAATCAATCTCCTTGGCCTGACCGCGAATTGTCGGTTTCTCGAAGACCATCCCCAAAGGTATATCCACGCCACTAGCTTTACGAAGTTCGAAAATTAATCTTGTTGCCAATATTGAGTGCCCTCCGAGATCAAAGAAATTGTCATCTAACGGGATGTAAGGTTTTGGCGGATTAGGAAGTAGATTTGACCAAATGTCGTGCACCGTCTGTTCGACTGCTGTTAATTTTAGCGTGTTGACATCGGACACGGTTTTGGATGACATCGCGGTGTCGGGGAAAGGCAATGAGGGTTTGTCGATCTTGCCGTTTGGTGTTAATGGCATCTTTTTCAATGGAACAAATACTAAAGGCATAGGAGACCGAATAAATTCAGCTTGAAGATCATGAATTGGGATAGAGTGATTTAATAAATTTACCAGATGGAATGCTGTAACTCGGTAACCTCTGTTTCAAATAATCCTTTATCTGTTTGATAAGTTTACGATATCTCCTTTTACCGAGTGTCGTCTCCTCATCCTCGTTTTCATCCGCAGAACTCATTAATTCTTCCAGCTCATCGCCCTCGGCCGGCACAAAATAAGTGACAAGCGTTTGCTCTTCATACTTGTCCCTTCGTACTAACGTAACGTTCTCCCTGATAAGCCGATGTTGGGAGAGGTAAGTGTCTATTTCACCAAGTTCTATACGGAATCCACGTATTTTCACTTGATCATCGGCTCTTCCGGCACACTCGACTAGTTAATTAATCATGCAAATAGAATAACGGTGAATAAGATGGCGCTGATTTGTTGAACATCCAAATAATAGTTACCATTTCCATCCGGTTGATACCTTCCCAGATCTCCGGTCTTATATAACCGGTCTCTCTTCCCTTTCCAAAACTCTCTCCACTCCTTGTTCCCTTCTTCATGATGCCCTGGTTCTGGAGTAACCTCATTGGTAAACCAATTACTCAGGAACTTTTCTCTCGTGACATCTTCAAGTCTTAAATAACCTTCTGCCAATCCTCCAGCTCTCACATAAATTTCACCAATTTCTCCGATTCCGCACAACAGATTTTTATTTTTCCTATTCACCACTAACAATTGAACATTTTGCATGCCCTTTCCAGCGGGTATAACATCTTTTTGCGAATTCAGGAACGCGGGCGCGGATGACAAGGGCGGAATGGCAAAGTATGACACTGATCGTTGAGTTTCCGTTGTTCCATACATGTTGATGATACACGTGTTGGAGGCGAGACGTTGAAGTCTGCCACAATCGCGTTTTGTGAGAAGGTCGCCAACGAAGAATGCATTGCGAAGTGAGGGTATCGGAGTATTCGCGTTCGCCGAGAGTAATTGCCCCATGGCTAAAATGAAATCGATAACGGTCATTATGTCATCAATAATAACTGTAAATCGGAAGATCAAAATTTAGATATTTGAAGAGACAAAACCTGGTGTCAAATGAGTGACAGTTATCTGATTTTCGGCCATCCAATTCGCCAATCTTCCCGGTATCCCGATATCTTCACTAGTCGGGATGTGCAATTCAGCACCAAGAAACAACGGAGTAAAAACTGTATTACAAATGATAGCGAAAATGATAATGAAGGATTTGCATTGTCGCAGTGGCAAATAAATGAGACATTTTTATTCAGAAAACAATGCTGACTGTCGCGCTGAATTGGATCATGAGCAATCCCGCTGAGCATGGTGAAATGGTCCTTATCAGATAATCCAAACTCCTGTGACATCCACGGATAATAATGTGTAAGCGAGAAGTGTCTCCCTCTCACACCTTAGACGTATTCGTCAATAAGTAAGAAGATAGTTGAGTAAATACGTGTACCATAGATTTATGCATTGAAGAAAATTGTCGATCACCTTTCGGAACTCCGGTGCTTCCGCTAGTAAAACTTAATGTGCCAATACTATCCGGACCGATTGTAACACAAACATCCTGAGATGCACGGTCGCGAACCTTATTCAACACATCCTCCTCTGATCCATCATTACCACCCCTGAGAGACCCATCATCCAATATCTCCAACATAGGTATCGTACACTTTACGTCAAGTTCCTCACGAATATACGCGTTAACCGATGGATCGATGGTCCCGGCATGTTTGAGGAAAACCATACCTCTCGGTTTTGCGACGGAAAGATAGATATTCTGACGGTCGGGTGGATAAGCAGGATCTTTTTCGCGTTAAATCGTGAAATAGTACTACAATAAAAATCTCGAGCAAACCACATCAATTATTCAAATAAAAATTCACACGAATTTACCAATAACGCTGAATGTGGCGCCAGCTTTAAGTACGCCCATGACGGCCACAACAAGATCCACTCCACGGTAAGCATACACCACCACCACATCCTCTCTCTCAATTCTATTCGAAATCAAGTAATGCGCCACAACATTTGAGGCTTCGTTAATATGACGATAGGTGAATACCCTTTTCTGATCACTACCCATCACCGATTCTACCACGCATCGGTTGTCAGGTATCTTTTTAGCATTGGCCGAAAAGATATCCGTTATCGCACCACGAAACTCGGTCCATTTTAAATCAGCTCGTGGATCTGGAAGAACATCAAGGCATCGGTCAGTCAATATTGGAATTTCGGATGCGTTCGTTTCCTTGTGTATAGATGAATAGTTGATGATGGCAATAAGCTGATCCAACATGTGAGATATCCGTTTCTCGGAAAATAACACTTGATTGTAAGATATGCAGATTTCGATGGCTGGCAAGAGTGCGTGACGCAATGACGGTGATGAATGAGAGGTGATTGTCACGGTGAGATCAGTTGTTGAAGAAGTTGCTTGTAAGACAGGAACCTCGGGCATGTCAGTTTGATTAAAGAAACGAACGCGAAAGAGTGGGGGATGCGTGATGTCGGCGTGCGATGCTTTTCGACTGTGACCTGAACTTTGTTGGCCTCTGTCGGAATATAATGAGGACAATAGTAGATTAAATGGAACCTCATCTGCTGTAGCTTCTCTTTCAACCTTTGTTTTATTAAACGATGAAGATTTAGATCCTTGAAATGATCAATTTCGTTAAGTCGAATTTTACAATTTGTTGCGTACTCACTTGTTGAACCTTTTGAACAACTTGTTCAAAAGTATCCGTGGGACTAACGTTTACTCTCAGCACAAGTGGATTCCTTGTGTCGGATGACGATCCGACGGTGATGTCTTCGTCACTCGTGTATCGATACAATAACAAAGTGAAAGCGGCTAGTAGAATTGTAAACGGAGATGGATGTTCACAAAACGACTGATTTTCTGGTGACGTGGTTATGTTGAAAGTGGAGGATTTTGTCGGATGAACAGGAATAGTGTCGGATGGAAATGCTAGTGAGAGTTGTAATACTGCCAGTGCGGCGGACTCTGGTAGATTCAGAATTTTCACGGCCTCCACAACCCTCGGTGGTAGTGGCCGGGGATAGTCGGTGGGCAGTTGGATTTCGGTCAGGTTTTGGAGGCGAATTTTCCATCGATCTAGTCTTTTATTGATTAGAACTGGATCATTAAGTAAAAGCGAAGATATTTTCGGTGGGTTTACTATTGACATTATTGTCAAACTATGAAATTCTGTACAAAAATTTTGGAAGTGAGATTTACGATAATCTTATACTGTATGTTGTAGATGATGAACATGCGTAAATTGGTTAGACTCTGTTACGTATTACGTACACACAGTACATTCACATTCAAGTTATCCTAAATAGCCGCAATGAATTTTGTCAAAATTTTAGAGTAACAACTAGTTTATCGAGTCTTTGACTATTTTCCGGAATCTAATATCATGAATGTGATTCCATTCAGTTCCCAAAAAAGGAAAACCGCAATGGAATTAAATCCTATAATGCCAAGATACATATATGGTGTATTGACAAATAATCTCTACATTATTTTTTTTCGCAATCATGCCATCATGGCGTGTCTTTATCGAGACATTAAATAAACATCTACAATATTACATAGATTATTCACATGACAGCTAACGTACATTATTATTAAAGGATTACATTACTTTAAAAATATGAGAAGTTCATTAAGTTAGTTTAAATTAAACAAACCAAAATCTCAACTATATATTCCAAGTCAAATTTAAGAACCAATATTTCATTTTTTTTTTTTTTTTTTTTTTGATAAATTGATATTAATCATTGTCAACAATTTGTTACTATAGATTATTATGAAAATGATAAATTGCTGAATTAATATATTGAAAAAATAAAAAAAAAAGTCAAATCCCTTTCAAAAAAATTCTTATTCAAGTAAATAATCTTTTTTCAAAAAGGATTTGTTTTGTTGAAATATTCTTTAATTTTAAATTATCTGAAAAATTTGTTTATTGATTATTAGAACTATGTATTATCTAAAAAACTTATTATTTTGAGTTTTTTTTTTAATTCACAATCATGTCATGATGGCTTGTCTTTATTGAGAAATTAAAATAAAATCTACAATAGTTTATAGACTTTCATAACATGACTAATACTAGTTGAAAAAAAATTATACAGTATACTGTTACTTGTATAACATTTGGTAAAAAATAAACAATTTAGCAAAAAAATGATATAAATAAATCAACAACCATATAATTTGGCCATAAATATTACAAAAATTAACATATTAACAATTTTTCAAAAAATTTATTATCAATTTGTTAAATACAGTAATTTATTAACTATTTAGCAAAAAATTATTAAAAATTCATCACAAAATTGTTTATTAGCAATTTAATAAAAATTATATATTAATTTATTAATTATTCATCAAAAATTTGATAATAGTTTATTAATAATTTGACAACTATTCATCAAAACTATTTATTAAAACTATTCATTAAAAATTTGTCAATTATTCTTTAAAAATTTATTAACTATTTATTAAAGCTATTCATTAAAAGTTCATTAACTATTCATTAAAAATTCATCAACTATATATTTATAATAAAGTAAAAAAATTAATAAATTTATATATAAATTTTTTTGAATTAAAGTTATATTTATAAATTATAAATAATACAAACTATAATTTTTTTTTTTGAGTACATGTAACCAGGCTAAATTGTCAGTTTATTAATCAATTGAAAACACAAGTACATTTTTATTTGAGCAGCATAATACATACTATTAGCTCTTCCTTTTTTTTCAACCTATCCTTTTAAGCATAAAAGCCTTTAAGTTTGATCTTGGGAACAATATTTCGCTTCGCAGTGTCTTTGGGTAAAAACCCCCCTAGTTCACTGCATCATTATCAGCAGGTTGTCACTGTCATATATCATACTAAGCTGTTGGAATACAAAAAACTACAAAAGGATAGGTTGAAAAAAAAGGAAGAGGTGATATCTAAAAATGTCTAAACAAATAACAAGAAAGTAAAAGAATAAAAATTAAAAAAAATATTTTCAGCTTCCTCCAAAGACCTGCTTTTCAAGATCTCTTCTCAATAAAAAATGCCCGATTGGAATATCCTTTATTTTCCGGAATCTAATATCATGAATGTGATTCCATTCAGTT